GTTCGACGAAAATGAGACATTGTTGAGCTTGTTCGTTAACAATGCGCTTTAGATAGCTCAGACGCAATTGTGTTTCTCTTTTTCACTTTCTGACGCGGGGGCATCGGTGACCGGTAGCACCAATTCAATTTTATAATTTTATATTAATACTATAAGATACGTTAATGTTCTATCGTGTTATTTTACGTATCGAGAACTCGTATCTTATATTGCAACACACGAAGATTGTATTTACAGTTAACATTAACTACCGTTTAGAATTAATAATAATATTGCTAATATCAGATAGTAAAAGTAATATGCGTTACTCTAGTCTATAGAATAAGCAACTCTAATATTACTAATTGTGAGTTTGAACAGTAAATTTTGATTGATAGGAGCTTATTAAAACGTGAAGATTTACAGTCGATATTTAAGAGTAACTATCTATTAGATGGCTAGATATTAGAGTTCTATCTATTAGAGCGCTTTCTAAATGAGCCTCTTATCTTCTATAAGAGCTGCGTAAAGCTTCCTGGTTATATCTACTAAGGAGCTCGCTATCGTCTATGGTAGCAGCTTCTGGTTATCGGTCTATAGTAGCTCTACGGGGCGTTTGTTTCATCTTCCACCTTCAAGATATTCCACATCTCAACCACGTTGCATATTTATGGCGAAATATTTCCAGTTCGAAACTTTCGGGATTTGGTTATTTAGGGGGTTATTTGGGATTTGGGGATTTGGGAGGTTGGGAATTTGAGGAGTTAGGAATTTGAGGAGTTAGGAATTTGGGGATTTGGGGATTTGGGGTAAAGAATTTTGGGGGTTTGAGAATTTGGGGATTTTGGAATTAGGGTATAGGGATTTGGGGATTTGGGAATTGGGGTAAAAAATTTTGGGGATTTGAGGAATTGGGGACATAGGGATTTGGGGATTTAGGAATTGGAGTACAGAATTTTGGGGGTTTGAGAATTTGGGGATTTTGGAATTGGGATGTAGGGAATTTGGGAATTTGGGAATTGGGGTATAGAATTTTGGGGATTCAAGAATTTGGGGATTTGAGGAATTGGGGACATAGGCATCTGGGGATTTGAGAATTTGGGGATTTGAGGAATTGGGGACATAGGGATCTGGGGATTTAGGAATTGGAGCACAGAATTTTGGGGATTTGAGAATTTGGGGATTTTGGAATTGGAGTATAGGGATTTGGGGATTTGGGAATTGGGGTATAGAATTTTGGAGGTTTGAGAATTTGGGGATTTTGGAATTAGGGTATAGGGATTTGGGGATTTAGCAATTGGGGATTTTGGAATTGGGGACATAGGGAATTTGGGGATTTGGAAATTGAGGTATAAGAATTTGGGGATTTGAGATTTGGTGATATAGAAATTTAGGGATTTAGGAATTAGAGTATAGAAATTTGGGGATTTGGGAATTTGTAATTTTAGGAACATTAAAAATTTTAGTATTTGGGGATTCATTAATTGGGGGTAGAAACTTGAAGATCTGAGAATTTGAGGATTTAAGAACTTGTAATTTTAGAATTGTTAAAACTTTTGAATTTGGGGACTCATTGATTGGGGGTAAAAACTTGAAGATCTGAGAATTTGAGGATTTAAGAACTTGTAATTTTAGAATTGTTAAAATTTTTGAATTTGGGGACTCATTAATTGGTGGTAGAAACTTGAAGATCTGAGAATTCGAGGATGTAAGAGTTTGTAATTTTAGAATTGTTAAAACTTTTGAATTTGGGGACTCATTGATTGATGGTAGAAACTTGAAGATCTGAGAATTCGAGGATGTAAGAATTTGTAATTTTTGAATTGTTAAAATTTTTGAATTTGGGGACTCATTGATTGGTGGCAGAAATTTGAAGGTCTGAGAATTTGAGGATTTAAGAACTTGTAATTTTAGAATTATTAAAATTTTTGAATTTGGGGATTTATTAACACTAAAGTTACCGTCACATAATGTATACTCAACTTAAAATTAAAAATGAAGTTAAAAAATAAATAAAGTTAAGAAACATAAATTAGTACACACATTCTTTATGTTAATAAAAATCAATTCTGATTTCAAGAAATGTATTTTAACAAAATGTGTTCCTTATAATAACAAACTTGTGGAGCAGTCATTTGACCGGTTTGGTACTTTTAGTGTTAATTAGGGGTAGAAATTTGAAGACCCATGAATATAGGGATTTAGGATTTTGAACTTCAGGAACGTTTTAGAACTTGAAAATATATGTACACATAAATTTCGAAGTACTATCAAAATCGAAAATTTCCGAATTCATATTTAAAAAATATAGTCAAACTTTGCAAACCAAAGCTACCCCTAAAATACCCATCAATCCAAAGATAGAACCCTAGAATCCGAAATGTCCCGTGAAAGCACGTCGATCGACTAAAGAGGCATCCAAACAATGTCCGACACAATGAGGCGATCGAGGCGTATCAAACGGAGAAACACTTGGTCGTCTTCCGGGCAGTTTACATAATCGCGACACATGGACAACTAGAAGAAGCATCGCGGGAGGGTGTTGTATGCTCAGTGAATCAGCGTACAAGCTGGTTCAGTGACGAAGCCCTTGAACGAATAGTAGAAAGGCGATAAGTCCGATTCTCCGTGATCCAATTAAGCGGCAGATCCTGAGCCCGTGGACACGCGGTTTACGGATACGCGATCGTTCGACAAGAGGGTGTGTAGCGGCTGCACGTAACACCGTTGCGACACGGCTTATCTGTCGACGGGTGTTCCGATTCGGCGAACACGGAAAACCCGTTCCTGGATAACCAAAGCGTCGAATTAGCCGCCGAGGAAACTGACCGAGAGCGTCGACACGCGTTTCGCCTTCGGCTTCGCCGAGCGGGTGATTCGCTTTAACCGTGCATCAATCATTACATTTTAACGCGACCACTCATTTTTCGACTATTCTATACAAATTTTATTCGATGGGATTAACATTCTTCATAGTGGGACATTTTTACAAGTTTTTTACTTTTGGAAAATTGTTAAGGTTTTCTTTTTGTATTTGTTACAGATTTTGACAATGCTTTTCACTTTTGGAAAATTGTGAAGGTTTTCTTTTTGTACTTCTTCAAGATTTTGAGAATGTTTTTTACTTTTGGAAAATTGTGAAGGTTTTCTTTTTGTACTTCTTCAAGATTTTGACAATGTTTTTTACCTTTGGAAAATTGTGAAGGTTTTCTTTTTGTACTTCTTTAAAATTTTGACAATGTTTTTTACTTTTGAAAAGTTGTGAAGGTTTTCTTTTTGTACTTCTTCAAGATTTTGACAATGTTTTTTACCTTTGGAAAATTGTGAAGGTTTTCTTTTTGTATTTCTTTAAGATTTTGACAATGTGTTTTACTTCTGGAAAATTGTGAAGGTTTTCTTTTTGTATTTCTTCAAGATTTTGACAATGTTTTTTACCCTTGGAAAATTGTGAAGGTTTACTTTTTGTACTTGTTTAAGATTTTGACAATGTTTTTTACTTCTGAAAAATTGTGAAGGTTTTCTTTTTGTACTTCTTCAAGATTTTGACAATGTTTTTTACTTTTGGAAAATTGTGAAGGTTTTCTTTTTGTACTTCTTCAAGATTTTGACAATGTTTTTTACTTTTGGAAAATTGTGAAGGTAAGGTTTTCTTTTTGTACTTCTTTAAGATTTTGACAATGTTTTTTACTTCTGAAAAATTGTGAAGGTTTTCTTTTTGTACTTCTTCAAGATTTTGAGAATGTTTTTTACTTTTGGAAAATTGTGAAGGTTTTCTTTTTGTACTTCTTCAAGATTTTGACAATGCTTTTTACTTTTGATAAGTTGTGAAGGTTTTCTTTTTGTACTTCAAGATTTTGACAATGCTATCTTTTTGTACTTCTTTAAAATTTTGACAATGTTTTTTACTTTTGAAAAGTTGTGAAGGTTTTCTTTTTGTACTTCTTTAAAATTTTGACAATGTTTTTTACTTTTGAAAAGTTGTGAAGGTTTTCTTTTTGTACTTCTTTAAAATTTTGACAATGTTTTTTACTTTTGAAAAGTTGTGAAGGTTTTCTTTTTGTACTTCTTTAAAATTTTGACAATGTTTTTTACTTTTGAAAAGTTGTGAAGGTTTTCTTTTTGTACTTCTTCAAGATTTTTACAATGTTTTTCACTTTTGGAAAATTGTGAAGGTTTTCTTTTTGTATTTCTTCAAGATTTTGACAATGGTGGAGCACAGGGAGACTACTGTAGCTAATTCCTTAGGGGTACTTCTTTTGGGAATACGAGACTTGAAATTCTGGCAAAGATTTAGTTCATCTCGAGGGTACTTTCTAGGTGTGTTAGAAGAATTCTAATACTTGATATGTTAGAATAAGGCAGCATGTCTCTCAGTCACCAAATGTTAGCACAAGATTTTCTACAACGACAAAGATCAGATGAGTCTCACAATACAGCCAAGACATCAACTTGTCCTACCAACGAAACTTAAATGCTGTAGGACGTACCACATGTTCGAATACAGTTGCTACTTCGTTACCAAATTTTGTATACTAGTTTTCCTTTCTACTTGTTATAATCAAATTATATACTGATAAATGATTAACAATAAGAATATACCACAGCTCAAGTGTAACAACAGCCTCTAACCACCAAAAGCTCCTATAGCAACACAGACAAGATCATAAAGTTCGAAAAGCGATTTAAGATATCATCCTATCAACAAACAGTCTGACGTCCCAAGAATAAATGACACCACTAGCCTAACTACCATATCATCAAATTCCGTCTAGTAACACAAACTGCCAAGTTAATCCAAGATCCCAAGAAACAGCCACTGCGAAAAATACCACAGTCCAAACGCAGCCTAACCAGGATCCCCCAGTAACAACGCAGCGAATAAAGTTCAGGCAAGATGTCTCAGAACAAACAGCCCCGAAGAAGTTCTGCTAGCAGGGCTAGTAAGATTCAGGCCCGAGACGGTTCAGCCAAGGCTCTCTAATCTGGCAAAGCGTGGTGGTTCGATCGGAATGTAAACTCACTTTCTTCCGGATGTTTGACGGTGGAGAAGCAGCCGTCCGCGGACAGGTATAGCAAGAGCGCCCCGTTCGCGGGCAGCTCCTTGAATCCGCTGGCGAGGAACACCTGTACCTGGCTGTAGGTGGGCTTGTACAGCAGGTACTTGTGTGGATTGTCGCGTCTTGGCGCTCCGTTCTCCGCGCCGGGATACAGGCCAGGCCTGAAGGGCATCCTGCCAGCGGGCGAGGCGTCGTGCAGGTGGTTCGGGTCGTCCCTCGGCTCCCGCTCGAGGGTCTGCAGCATCCTGAACATGTCCATCGACAATTCACTGAATTTCACCTGGTCGGCGCAATTGCCGACGATCAGGATCTCCTGCAGGGATAGGCACATGGGTGGCGTACGTTCGACTGGCGGCGAGGTCTGCGGTCCTAGCCTGTGGGTCAGAATCACCGGGTTCGAGTCCGAGTGCACGACCCCGACCGCCGACTCGGCCTTCACGAACGCCTTGATCTCGTCCAGCACCAGGTTCCACTCGAGCTGATCGTCCGGCTCGTAGGTGCTCGTGTAGTCCGCGATCTGGGCGTCCAGCTCCTGCACCAGCTCGCGCACCAGCTTCATACGGTTCAGCAGCAGACACACCACGATGAACCGGGCGTAGTACCTCAGCTTCTTCACCATCAGGTCGCTGCGGTCCTCTTTCGCCGCGCGGCTGTAGTACGCCCGGCCCCTTATCGCCGCGTAGAACGAGTAGGCCTCGTGCAGGTAACTGGTCTCGCTGGTGCGCAGGTAGTAGTGGTAGTAGAGTTGGCCGATCTTGCTCGCTATTTCGCCGATCTGCCACCTCTTCAGGCCGTACTTTGTGTCCAGTATCGTCCTGAAACATCTCTGCGTTAGTCGTCTTGCTTTTATTAGGGGTACCGAAAAGTAATCAAAATTTTGTTAGCTGGCGAAAAATATTTATTTATTAACACTTTAACGACCGCTCACACAACATGTGTGTGATGCTACCGCCGAAGGTTGTTGGGCAGTACCACACTTTCTATGTAATAATTTATGAATGTAAACAAGTATGGATATTGCTATTGGCTTCGTATTTCATCGCCACGTCTTTGATTTTAGGTAATTATTGCCTATTTTTAATTTTACATTTTACACTACAGTGGTGTACCATGTAAATTATGGAGCAAATGTCGGCGCTCTACGAAATATTAAATTTGTTGTTAAATTGTTGTCGTTTTTTGTTTTATGTTAACTTTTTCGTGAATTTAAGAAAGTTCTTTTAAATTAATTCTTCAAAAATACTGCCGGCCCCTGGCGACGTTTGACTGCGTAGACGTGCGGTCGTTAAAGTGTTAAAGAAATCTTAAATCAACAAAATAATTTCCATCACTTTCTAACGTTTTTTGCCAGCGTGAAGGCAATTGTTCCCTTCCTAAAAAAGTCCTTCGATTTTTCATAGAAAAACTTTGAAATCATCGAAGAAATTTTGATTACTTTTCGGTACTAATACTACCACGGTACATTCAAATTATGTTACAGTTTCTAGTAGACCTTGCTTTCGAGTATTTACTCTGCTGGATACAGAGATTTCGGGACGTAGTTTTGGACTTGAATGTAAAAGCATGTGAGGAGTTGAACTCTATCGGTGCTTGAAGTGTTCGACGTAGAAATTTGAGGGATGTTAGGATTTTTGGTGTCTGAGGATGACAAGGTACAGGGACCTTGGAATAAAGAAATTTGACAATTTAAGTATTGCTGTTTAGGCTTTCGGTTGTGAACTATGTCTTAGAGGAAGCAAGTTCTCAACGCTTCGCCAGCATTGCAGGTAACTCCTTGCGCTCGAGAGGTGACTCTCAGTCACCATTGTATTTAATACAATAATTTGAAATAAACATTTTTTAACTGATTCTATAATATTGCACTTGTGATGTATAAATATAGTGAAACAAACAATAGTGGAAATTATTAGTAAAGAAAGAATAACCTCAAGAGAATTCGTTTAACTTTTTAACTACGTTTTAAAATTACTGTTTACAAACAGACAAATTATCTTTAGGGTTAATTTAAGTATTTAAGTATTAGGTTGTTCGGAAAGCCATTTCGTTTTTTTTTGTTTTCGATGAAACGAAATACGATTTTCTTATAGTGAATAAATATTTTATTCTATTAAAAATGGAAGTCCAATATACTTTACCATCTTTCTGACAGTAACATAATTCCACGTTCATAAAATTTTTGTTCTTTGCTGACAAAAAATTGATGCAAGTGAATTTTCGCCTCCTCGTTTGAAGTGAAGGTTTTACCGTTTAAAAAATTCTGTAGTGATCGAAATCAATAATAATAACCAATTTTGGCACTGTCGTTCTGTTAATGCATCTTCTTTATACACACCTGACAATTTTCTTCTCGTTTGAACAGTATTTTTACCTTTACAATAGTAAAAACGTAAAATATGCCGTAAATGCTGCTTTTCTCTTTCCATATTTGATGGGGCACCAACCAAAAACTATAGAATAGAATCAGTGGAAAATTTTCACAAAAAAACCTTGCTATATCAGTTGTTAAAATGTATAATGATTTGCGGCTTAAATGTGAAGCTGTAAAAAAATACAATTAAATCCTGTGTTGAGAAAAAACGAATTTACTTTCCGAACAACCTAATATTTCATAATCTAGTAATTGAAAGATCACGAAATTTGAGAAAACTGAGGAAATCAAGCGACTCAAAATTTCCCTCTGAAACGAATAAACGTGAGAACTTGGGAATCGGAAGCTTATGCACACACGTGTCCACCGGAAACCTTGCGTCCCCGAAATCGAAACCGCCTCTCCAACTCTCTAATCAACCCTCCAACCAATTTATAACGCGAAGAGTCTACGAATTGCATCGCAGAATTTACGATTCCATTGCGAAATCGCGGCCACGTCGATTGTCCCCGCGTCTTCGATAAAAAAAGAAAGGAAAAAAAATAAAACCGTATAGACAGCAGCCTCGAGTTACGATACTTTTGAAACAGGTGCTCGCGCGTAGCAGAAAGTTTCTCCATTGTTTTGACGCGCGTTGCCGCGCTCCTGAAAGAGCATCCCCGTTATTTATTAACAGCCGACAACGGCGCGGAGCGGCTACGATCGCGCGTTTGTGAGCGTATCGCGTGCGACGCGCGAACACGCGAGTGTCGTGAATAGCTGGATAGACAATTGACTCTTTGTCGAATCACGCCGCTACACCCCTGTCTACCGATGACACTTTACGATCAAAAGGAAAGGGACAAAGGGTCGAAGATTAGCCGGCCATCCGGCAAACAGAATCGAACGGGTAAATAAAGAGTCGCGGTAGGAAAGGAAACGGTGGTCGGTGAAGACTGCCACTTATCGGGATGCTGGGTATCAGGAGGACAGTTACGGGGCGGTTACTCCTCGCAAATTTCTTTCCATGTTACGTTTGTCGAAGTTTGAAATTTTTATTGAGATGGAGAGTTAAGGGGGGCAATACCTTTAGACCGATGAAAATAAGCTGATTTTTGTGAATTTTTTTGTATAGGATATCTTTCTTTTGCGTTTTTGAAATTTCAGGTATAATTTATTATAACTATTGCACAATATTTTTTGTTTTTAAATACATTTAAAAATGGCGGAATTATAACAATTCTTTCTGGAAGTGGCGCGTCTCGAGATTCTAAAGGTATTGCCCCTCTTAATTTGTATTTTAATTCGTGCTTTATAGTTTATTTCTTGGTCGGTCTATTTGAAAGGTTTTAGTTTGAAAGTTTTATTGTGGGCTAAAGAATTTTTGCATTCTATGTAGTTCAGAATATGTGGATTTCAAGGACTTTTGAGGTTTGCGGATTTTTGGGCCTATGGACAATGCGAGTTTGGAACTCTAGGACTTAGGAACTCAGAGGTTTAGGAACTCGAGGATATAGGAAGCACAAGAGTGCTGCAATTGTAGAATCCAAGGATAAAGACATAAACAACGAATATAAGGACTAAACATTTAGATATTTTAGTATGTAGGTACCATAGGAATTTTGGACTTCTAGGATCATGTTATGGTCATCATATATCATATATTGGCTGTTCGAAACCAGGGTACATGAAGTATGTACAAATTAAAAGATCGTAGAGTGCATACATTATAGAGTTACGTTAAAGTGGTTGGTTTCTGAGTATATAAAAATTCAAAAATCCTAAAGTGCATACATTATAGAGTTATGTTAAAGTCGTTGGTTTCTGAGTATATAAAAATTCAAAATTCCTAGAGTGCATACATTATAGAATTATGTTAAAGTCGTTGGTTTCTGAGTATGTAGAAATTCAAAAATCCTAGTGTGCATACATTATAGAATTATGTTAAAGTTGTTGGTTTCTGAGTATGTAGAAATTCAAAAATCATAGAGTGCATACATTATAGAATTATGTTAGTCATTGGTTTCTGAGTATGTAGAAATTCAAAAATCCTAAAGTGCATACATTATAGAGTTATGTTAAATTCGTCGGTTTCTGAGTATGTAGAAATTAAAAAATCCTAGAGTGCATACATTATAGAGTTATGTTAAAATCATTGGTTTCTGAGTATATAAAAATTCAAAAATCCTAGAGTGCATACATTATAGAGTTATGTTAAAGTCGTTGGTTTCTGAGTATATAAAAATTCAAAAATCCTAGAGTGCATACATTATAGAATTATGTTAAAGTCGTTGATTTCTGAGTATGTAGAAATTCAAAATTCCTAGAGTGCACACATTATAGAATTATGTTATAGTCGTCGGTTTCTGAGTATGTAGAAATTCAAAAATCCTAGAGTGCATACATTATAGAGTTACGTTAAAGTCGTTGGTTTCTGAGTATGTAGAAATTCAAAAATCCTAGAGTGCATACATTATAGAGTTATGTTAAAATCATTGGTTTCTGAGTATATAAAAATTCAAAAATCCTAGAGTGCATACATTATAGAGTTATGTTAAAATCATTAGTTTCTGAGTATATAGAAATTCAAAAATCCTAAAGTGCAAACATAATAGAATTATGTTAAAGTCGTTGGTTTCTGAGTATATAAAAATTCAAAAATCCTAAAGTGCATACATTATAGAATTATGTTAAAGTCATTGGTTTCTGAGTATGTAGAAATTCAAAAATCCTAGAGTGCATACATTATAGAGTTACGTTAAAGTCGTTGGTTTCTGAGTATGTAGAAATTCAAAATTCCTAGAGTGCATACACTATTGAATTATGTTAAAGTCATTGGTTTCTGAGGTTCTTAGAACAATTCTCAAACATTCATATCATCATTCAAAACATTTAAATCCCCAGATTTCTTAAAAAACTGTCAAATTATCCAACCTCCAAATTCACTGATCCCAACCTTCAAAAATCGCGAAATTCCGAAATCGAAAAAGTACGGAAGTCGATGAATGAAAAAATTTGAAAACGTCGAAACTCGAAAGGCAAAAGAGTAGCGCGGAAATTGTAAGATCTCGGGAAACTCGAGCGCGTTCCATTGACGGTTGAAACGTTCACGGTCCATAGCCCGCGGCGCATCTCCCCCAACGTTCCCTAGGGGAGTCCGTATTCGCTCCCCAGCGTACACGAGGTATCAGCTGGTCACGTGGTTTCCGTGGTAGCAGCGATCGTGGGACTCGGATCGACCGCGTTGGAAGGCGGGACAGGAGGGTACGCGGGTTTTCAAAGCTCTCCCGCGTCGAAAGTCGCGTTCTTCGCTCGAAGAAAAAAATAAGAAGATAATAATAACGCGGCACGATCGATCGGATCGCAAAATTGTACCCCGGTAGGGATCCACTAAAAATATCTGTGCACGTCCCGCAGCATCGCGAACACGCGCACGCACGCACACATAATCCTTCACTCGCGCACACAATCTCCATTCACGCTCGTCACATGGTGTCCCAGCGCGTGAAAGGGCGGAAGTCCTGCGTAGAGAGAGCGACGGAGAAAGAACGAGACCGCGAGAGAGAGAGAGATAGAGAGACGGAGAGGGAGGATACTAAGGGAAAGAGAAAGGGAGAGGATCTCGATCGGCCACGTTTTCCGCACGACGAAAGGGAAGATTTGGCGGAAAATCCAGGATCGAGAACGTGGTCGAATCGTGTTTGGACCTCGTGGCGATTCCGCGCGATCGATCCCCGTGCACGCTAAGCCGCTCTCGATGAGTCAGCCCGGTCGACCGACTGGACACTCACCTGTGCTGCTGCTGGAACTTCCACAGCTTGGTGTAGATGTCAAAGGTGCGCCCGAAGTAGCCCTGCCACTGCTTGTGCCCGTACTGTGGCAGATCCCGTAGCCCGTTGAACAGCTGCTTGCTCTTCTCGAGCAGGTGGCAGAACTCGAGGACGACTTTGCGCTCGTGGTCGTCCATGCCAGCCATCATGACCATCTTTTCGGTGAATCGAGATCGCGGCCACTGGCTGGACGGCCCTTCAGACGACGGTCGCGGTGGCCCCGCGTGATGGCGCCTGCCGATTCCGCCACCCTCTCTTGCACTATGACTTAGACGCCGACGAACGCGCCGC